GGAAAATGGCAAATCAGGGTATGCGTGGCTAGGCGCTCAAGTATAGCGCCAAAGCAGGAATCGCAACCGTTAAGGAATGCCAGAGGGCCGTTGACGATCAAAACACGAGGCATATGCCCCTCTCCGTTCCGGGCGGGGGCGGACCATGAGGCCCGCCCCCGGATCGGGGCATTTGGCAAACCGTTAGGACGTGAGTGGACGCTACTCGAGACAGAAGCGAACGGGAAGCGTGCGGATGACTGAATGGGAATCGGACGTAGGAAGGTAGCAGCCCCGTAGTAGGACGAGAGGATACGGAGCAAGACAATTTACGGTTAAACGGTCATTTGTTAAGATACACTCAGTCTCTGTCTCGTCTCCATCGCGTCTCTGTGCTCGTGGTCCCCATTCGCAGCACTCGGGGCATCCCCCCCCCCCGCCCTTTGGAAGGTGGAAAAATACCCACCAAAGGTGCGCCGCTCCGTTCTGCCCCAATTCCCCCAGTAGATTACACCCTCTCAACCGCCCATATGCACCCCACTGCTCCCCAATGTCCCATCCACGCCCCCACGCACACCGAAGGTGAATCGTACGGGCCCTCCCCACACCTGCCCCGCCCAAACATAGGCGGACCGCCGCACGGGGCGGCCACCCGGCAGGCCCCGCCCGCTCCCCACCGCCGCCCGCCCCCCCACCCACCCCGGGATCCCGCCAGCCAGCCCCTTCGCGCTTGTGCAAGCATCTGCCCGCGCCGCTGGTGCGCGTTTCTCCGACGAGACACCCCCCGTGGGCGCATCGATCTTCGAGCTATCCGAACCGAAGTGGCCATCAGGGGCTCGCCGGATCGCCATGGTGGTGCCGGCGCCGGCCTCTGGTGGGCAGGGTGGCCGCCAGCCCGAGGGCCGAGAGGCATGCCGGGCCTTGGCGGGATCGCGTGTCGAGGGCGGTGCCGCTGAGAAGGGAGGGGACGGGGGGCGGGAGGCGGAGGGGGATGAGGACGCGCCGGCGTGCCGGATCTGCCGCATGGGGGACGGCGAGGACGGGCGGCTGTTCCACCCCTGCCGTTGCTCGGGGAGCATCAAGCACGTTCACGAGGCGTGCCTGACGCAGTGGTTGCGGCACTCGGGGAACACGTGTTGCGAGGTGAGGCGGGGGGATGGCTGAGATGGAGGGGCCTGGCTGCTTTCAACAGTGAGGCATGCTCGATGGCTATCTTCTGATGGGTGGGGGTTGTTTGTTGGGCGCCCGTCCTGGCCCTCTTGTTGTCGGCCCTCGCCTTCCACCTTTCGATCGGCTGCTCGGGCTGGAGGTGCGCTTGAGTCCGGCCGTCGCCGGGGACCGGTCGTGCCCGGCCCGCCTGGGGTTACTTTCCCCACGCCGCGGCTCCTCGCGCCTGAGACTTTGATGGCGATCGCTCTCGACGCGCGATTCCGCGTGCGGATGGCCGGCTGGCGCCGCCGGTGGCCGGCTCTGGCGAGCGCCTGAGGCTAGAGAAAATTTGCGTCGCCGTTTTGCGCCTTGTGGGGGTTCGGAAGCTGGGCGGGGCGGGTCCGATGCTGTCGGGGTTCGTGGGCGTGCCAGCCACGGCGGGGTGCGTCGTGGGCTGCCCTTCCCCGGTCTGGGCTCTGCCGTGCGGATGCCCGAGGGTCCCTGTGCGCGGCCGATGAAGTGGCCGTGTTAGAGAATCTGTGATCGTTGGGCGAGCGAGTTGCGCTGTTTCGAGTGTGTTCTCAGCCTGCCTTTGGAGACGTCGAAATCATCTCTCACGGAGTGGAGCAGGGTCTCACCGTCACTGTGGTCAGAGGGGGTGGCCATTGTGCAACCACAAGCGTGTTGTTGCTGTTGGCGATTTGCTTGGTGCGTGAATATTGTTGCCAGTCTACATCCCTTGCTGAAATTTGTCCGAATCTGCACACGCACCACAGAAACAACGTCCTTAATGGAGCTGATGATGCCCATCTTACCAAGGGCATGTCCTTCCAGGTTCGCATGAACTGGGAACTTAGTTGTCCACTATGACACATTTGTCTGTCATTTGATGTTTTGAGTTGAGCCCTTTGGATATTGCAAGGAACTGTAGTACGTTTCTCGTTTTGAGACTCTCGTTTTGGCCCCATGGGAATGTGGGTACAGGTGAACAAAAGTACGCTTGTGGCGCCGATTGGAATCCGAGTCTAAGCAGCCCTGAGACACCCACTTCAACAAGGCAGCCCAGTTGCGTAGACTTGGCAGCCATGCCACTTATTACCAGCTGTGGTGGCAGTGTTCTGGCATGCCACCTGAATCCTGAGCATCAAGCTTCGCACTGGGGCACTATGCTGGCAGATGCAAAGCTCACTGTTCCAGCTGGCACACAGATACTGCCCACATCACTTTGCCACAACCCTAGCAACAAGCAGCGTTCCCCAAACAGGTTGACGGCAAAGTATTGCAGTCGTAATTGCTGTCCTTCCTGACACTATGTTCCCCCCTTTTCGCAGCCTACGGGCATGGAGGTGCACCAACTGGAATTGTTGCCTGTGGCTGATTTTGCCCACTTGTGCCCCAGGTGTGTCGACACCGTTTCACGTTTTCACCTGTTTATGCGGAAGACACTCCAGAGAAGCTGCCGCTGCAGGTCTTAGTGGGTGGATCGATGAAGAAAATCCTAACTGGTTTGGGATTCGCCTTCAGGGTAGGTGGCAGATATGAGTGTCACCCCTCCAAGTCTCCAGCCACACAACAGATCTTCTCCAGTTGCAAGCCCATTGGCTTAGTTGTGTGTCCCTGCAGTTGCAGTTCAGGTGGACTTGAAAACGTTTGAAGACAACATGTTGCCACACCTGTTGGTGTGCTTGTGTACAAATGTGCCTTGTAATATAGGCCACACAAGCCCGCAGTATAGTGTGGCAGAGGTGTGCGAAAAAGAGAGCACGGCTGCAATTGCTGGAAACTGCCTTTGGATAAACGCGCTTCTGCAGTGAAAGATATCAATGAAGAGACCTTTGGAATCTGCTGCTGTGTTCTGGACTGCACCATGATTCCTATTCAGCTTTGAATTTAGTTGGCCATTGAATCGAATGTGTTTGGTCACCTTTCAGCTTGTTCTGGTGTGGTGGGCATGGCTGATCGTGCTGCCATTGACTACATGCTTCCTTTGGCGGGCTGCCTTCTCGCCAACTCTGCAAGAGGTATGGCTTCATACATTCAACACATAAGATGTTGTGAAGCAGCCTTGGGGAGATGTGGGTGTGCTTGGCATTGGTGATGGTGTTGCCTGCCCAACTTCCTTTTGCAGCCATGCCTGAGGCTGACGATTGATGATTTTCAAGCATTGGGCTGCGCATTTGTTGGTGGTCCCTTCCTCTCCTCCACCCTGTCTGCCAGCAGAGTGTATTGGCTTCCTAGACAAGTCTCTCAGGGTCAAGGACCTTAGTTTGCTTTGTTGTTTTCCTGCAGATCCCATCTATGCTGCTGCAGCGTATGAACCCCGCGGCGTTGACCTTTGATTGTGTGCAGGTAATCAGAGCAGCATTGATATGATGCTTGTTACATTGGTGATGCTTTTAATGTCTTGTTGTCCCTGGGAAGCACCTTGCCGTGAAGACTTGAGTGACTGATGAAACGATGGCACAGGTGCTGTTGAAAGATTCGCATGAAGCACTGGCATACTTTGCAGCAAGAAACACAACCCACTTGATAGCAGTGATCAAGATGTGGGGCTTCACCATCTTTTGAACTGTACAGCCCTGCCAGCGAGCAAGAGGTGGGGCTGCTGGGCCCCAAGGAAGATAAATTTCGCACCAGTTGGCTACTTGTTGTATGAACATGGTTACACGCCCCTCCTGTTGCACTCGAGTATGCTTGAAGGTTTTTCCATGGGATGCAAAACAGTCTTGGCAAGATTTGTGCTGAGGAGCCATGCAACTGTGCATGGCTTCCAATGTCAGTCAAAAGGACAGAGCATCTGACCCTGTTGTGCCTTTCCCCAGGGGTCGCTCCTCACGGCCAGCTTGTTTATGGTAATGTTTGTGATATCCTACATCAAGGACCACTACGAGCACTGGGTCTCCACCTTGGAGCAGCAGTTCGATGCCAAGCTCACTGAACTGATGGACCTCTGGTCGCAGAGCATGGATTCTGAGCAAGGTAGCCCCAGGGTCGATGAACTGCAGCCCAGCACCCCTGCAGGAGCACCAACTGCCCAAACATCAGGCGACCTGGACAGGCAGGACAGTGGGCTGGGCGCCTGTGGATCTGGGGAGGCACCCGGGGCGGGCGCGAGTCAGGAGCACCGCGTGCAGGCCTGGGCCCAGGGTGGCATTGGGAATGTCGATTCCTCGGCTTTGAACAGCGAGGGTGGGGCAGAGTCCGCCGGGCCAACCCGGCTAGGGCGTGGCCCCACCCCTGCGTCAGGGGAAGTGGCAGAGAATGGGGCCTCCACCAGGGGGCATGATGATCGGCCAAATGGTGGTGAGGCTGGGGATTTGCAGGCTGGAGGAGCGGGGAATGGGATGGCGGCAGGGATGCCGGCGGGGGCGGAGCAGGCGGGGCGGATGGCGGTGAACGTCCAGCGGCCGGCGGCTGCGCCCCGGGCCGAAAGGCCGGACCGCCAGGCCGACTTCTGGTGGGACCACAACGTGCTGGACGAGCAGATCGCGCACTTCGAGGAGCACGTCAACGGCCAGCTGAACGACCAGCCGCTGGAGCAGCTGCTGGGCCTGCGGGGGCCCCTGGAGAACGTCGTGCTCAATGTGGTGACGATGATCATCTTCAACGCCGCGCTGGTGGCCGGCCTGGTCTGGCTGCCGTTGCGCGTGGGCGGCTGGGCGATGGCCATGGCCGCATCCGCGGTGGACACCCTCCGATCGTCGACGGCGTGGGAGGCGGGCGTCATGTGGGAGGCCGTGGTGGCCCACGGCGTGACGCTGCTGGGCCTCAGCGATCCGCTGTACCACGCCTCGCCGCACCAGCCCTGGCAGGGCCGGCCGGCGGCCACATCCCCGCCCGCGCCCGGCGCCTGCCTGGCGCCGACGCTGGAGACGATCGTCCTGCCGCACCTGCGGGTGAGCGGCCTGCACGACTCGGCGCCGCTGAACCAGATGTCGCTGCAGATCGCGCGCGTGGTGGCGGAGCTCGAGGCGCAGGTCATCCCTCCCACCAGCGACGACCTGGTGGACATGTTCGCGGGCTATGCCGTGCTCATGAACATCGGCTTCGCGGCATTCTGGGGTTACCTGTCCTTCCGGGTTTGGTCCAGGCGCCCGGCCACCACCCTGGCCGCCCCGGCCTCCCTGGCGCGAAAGTGGTTCTGGCAGTCGGTCGTGGGGCTGGGCGTGGCGGGCAAGTTCGTGCTGCTGCTCTTCCTGGAGCTCCTGGTGTTCCCCACAGGTTTCGGCTACTGGCTGCACCTCTGCATGCTGCCCGTCTTCAAGACCACCACCTTCAGGGAGCTGTCCTGGCTGAGCCTGAGCTTCCACTGGCTGTGTGGTATGGGATTCCTACTCGGGTTCACATCGCTGGTGCGTCTGCTGCGGGAGGTGCTGCGCCCTGGGGCGCTGCGTTTCCTGCGGGATCCCACCCGCCCAGACCAGGACCCCTTCCAGGTGGGCGAATCTCCCATCCTTGATGTCAAGCGGACTGCTATTCCTTGCGTTGTGCACGGGACAAAATAATGTGCAAGACAGACATTGAATCTTTGGCTCTGCAGTGTATCAGACACAACGCCGGACTGCATGGGTACAGTTCCAAACTTGGCTTTTGTCAAGGGTCAGGCAAACTGCCCTGATTGGAGTTCCCAAAATCAAAATTCCTCTTCCTGAATTCGCCACAACGAAAGTCGTCCTAATGAAAATGAATTGAAGGAAATACGTTGCCCATACACCCGCAATGCTATTGTGGGGAATGGATTGGCTTCCCTGCATCCAATGTCCACCCTGGCTGCATCAGTGTTAGTTCATCACCATTGAAGGCAGGAGTAGCCTGGGCTTTCACTCCGACTACAGGATATTCCAAAGCGATGGGGATGCCTCAGCACTTTCTTTTCCCGACGGCATCTGCCATGGATGGTACCAATTAGTCACACTTTGCCTTGACATTGTGCAGCTTGTTGAAGCTCAGTGTGGTTTGTCTGTCAGTGCCTCTGCCGGTCCTGTGCCCTAACTTGACTGTGCAGGGGACCAGTCTCTTGTCCACTCTCATCCCTGCAGAGCAGAACCTTGAGAGAAGCGATGGGTTCTGAACCAGCTCAAGTTGCCATTCTCCTGAAGTGTAGTTTGGCTAGTCACCCCCAGCTGCTCTCATTGGTCGGCCGCCTGCAAAATTGTTCTGTGCTGCAGTTTGACTGGATAGACATGGCATCGCACATCTGCGTACTGGCTGTGTGGTATCTGATCTTAGTCTTGTATACCTACGAAAACGTGGCATAGTTTCCTTTGTTCAGATGGCGAGCATGTTGTGTGACTTGTTCGTGTTTGAAAGAGCGATCACTGATTGCCTCCTTTATGTGCATGATTCCCCTCCAGGAAATGGCATCTGAGCCCCTGGCAAAGCAGCTGCTGGGCATCGTTATATCATGTGTCATCTACGCCAACCTCGGTGTCATCTTCCTCCACATACCCTCCCGCATTGCCCGATACGCCTGCACCCACCTCTACCCTATAAAGTACCTATTCAGCCGGGTGCCACTCTCCCAGCTGCCTGTCGACCTCCTGCTGTTCCACATCTTCCTGCCCTTCACCATCGAGCACTTCCTGCAGCGGCTGGTCAAGGAGTCGTTTCAGGCCTGGCTGCGGTGGGCCAGCCTGTTGTCAGGCCTGGACGAGTACCTCCTGCCCAGTGACCAGTTTGGAATGGTGCGGCGGAGCTGGGCGAGAGTGCGGCAGTGGCAAGCTAATGTGTTCGGCAAATTCCAACTTGGCACTTTGGGGCTGGCACGGGCGCTGGGTGTGCAGACTGCTCCACCTGAGCGGCAGAGAGGGGCGGCAGAAGAGTCGGCGGATCGAGCAGATGGGCCATCTCCAGCTGTGTGTGTAGCATCTGGCGATGGAGAGTCTGCAGGGGAAATGCACAGGCAAGGGGCGTGTGATGGGTTTGAAGAGGCTTGCCTTGCCCCAACCGAGGACTGCTCGCTCTCTGATGATACAGAGTTTGATGGGGAGAGTGGGAAGATCAGCCAGCGGCCTGCAGCCAGGTCGTCGGATCTGGCAACGAGCAGCGCGACAACTGACACCAATTCCTGCTCGAGTTGTGGCGTCAACCAAGCGGTGCCTTTGGCACCACAAGAGAGCGATGTGAAGCCTGCCCGGCGTGAGCCGGCACAGTCCGGTGTGCGGCCCACCCCTGCCATTGCAGTGGACCAGTCCTCTACCACAGTTCAAAGGGAGCCCCATGAGCTCGAGAGTGACCCCACTTTTCCCCTGAGGGTGGCGTGCCTTGTCCTGATCTGGGGCTTGACGATGGTGGTGTGCCATGCACTGATGCTGATCGTGCCTGTATCGCTGGGGCGCGCTCTGTGCCTTGTGCTCTTCGATTTCTACCGCAATGCATTCAGGTGTGTTTACAATTTTCTGTGTGTTTGGTTTCATCATGATCAATCAATCATCCATCCATTCCTTAGTCGGCCAACCAGCTGGCCAAACAGATTTCTAGCCACAGGTTGCTTCCAACGCGATGTCAAGGTGCCTTGCTGCATTGTCGTGAAATGATTGTCTGTTGGTCGACTTTACTTGCGCGATCACCATTGTGTTGATGCCAACTTTGTCCCAATCACTTTGCCAGGGCATCGAACAGGCGGTGTGGATTCTTGCTGCCTTACCAATGTTTTGTCATTGTTTGCAGCCTGCACACTTGGATATGATGCGCGGTAGAGTTATACATGGTTGTTGCTGAATTCTTGGTCTCTGTGTATTGGCAAACATGGAGTATTGTGTAGCCAAGGAATGTGTGGATGGCATGTGAAAGCTGTGTTGCAACAATGTGTGCAAGACAATAGCATGCACGTGTGTCGCCATTGTTGTATGCTTCCTGGGGAAAATGGGAGCTTTTTGCCTCGATGGTGGTGGCGGCCTTGTTTGCCAACCTCTGTCCCAGAGGATGGTCAGTGACAGAGTCATCACTCATTGGCTAGCCATGATTGAATCTTCAACGCTATGTAAACATCCCCATCTGGTTTATTATCAGCGAAAGAGCCACCAATTCTGGTGAATGTTCTGGCAGCCAAAGACCCACCAACAGTGCTGGGATATGTGCTGAGCAGCGCCCAACATCGCGTTCAGCATCCTCTCATGTCATGTATCAGACCACTGATGTTTTCCCCGCCTGCCATTGGTGTCTTACCCTGTTTCCCATGCATGAATTGGAGACCTGTCATTTTCATTGCGCTCAATGGCATGTGCAAAGCATCATTTGAATACATGCATTGCACATTGCAGCACTGTTGCCACTGATGTACCTTCCGGTGAACCTCAACCAGGCACCTGCCAGGCACGCCCATCCACGACCTCTTCACCTCCTACATCGGAATGGTCGTTCTGTACTCGCTCCTGGACTTGGGGCGGACGGCCATCATGGCGCGCCACCGCCTCAACGCTGGCCTGCAGAACATGATCCACAATGGCCTGCAGGCGCTGGGCACCTTTGCCAAATGCTCCCTATTTTTGGTTGTGTGGCTGGGCCTTGTGGCAGCAGGCTTCGGTAGCTTCATAGAGCTGGCGCTGCGGCCAATCAAGGCACAGTTGGATGGCCAAGCTGGGGCGGTGGAGCCCTTGAGGGCGTGGTCCATTGGGATCACGGCGCTGATGGTGTGGCACTTGGCAGTGAAGAGAACTGAGGTGAGGGCGCGCTTGCGACGCTGATAGGAACTCTCTCAAGCAAGAATGTGTCTTATGCTAGGATGCAACAGAAAATGATGCTGCTGAGTCCTGAGCCTTGACGTCATCTGATCAAAAACAACACAACCTGGCCCCTTGCCTACACCTCCGTTGCTGCTGACACACAATCGCAAGCTTTGGACAACAAACGTGGCTGGGATTATTCCCATCATGGCCATGCGAGTGGGGAGCCGACCCATTTCTATGCACATGCCAGGATATGTCTGTATTGTTATTCGTCATCCCTGAGTGGGCTCAGTATTATGCTTCAAGAAGGGAAGGAGTAATGGAAGCTAAGGGAACTTAGAGTGCAGCTACCAACCTGCACACGCATCGCAAATGTCATGTGGGCGTTGGTGCCACTGTTAAGCAGGTTGCAGCTTTTTTTTGATGTCTCAGTGCTGGGGTGTATTGTGTCCGCATGCTGCTCTTGCAGATTTGCTAATGTTTTCCAACCTCTGGGTCTGAAGGACATTAGTGGATCCACTGGACCTCCATGTGTCCATCATCTTTATAGAATTGCATGGATGTCCAACTCTTGAGAATTATGCAATCACAGTACAGATGCTTGCTCTGGATTTTCATAGGCCAGTGCCCAAAGTCTGTTTGCACTTGATTGGATAGGACAGAATGGGCCCTTGCACGTGCACAGTGACAATGGGCACATGCAGGCAGATTGGCTTAGAATGTGCAAATAAGCACAAGAAAATGCCACCAAGTGGCATGTTGTGTCCCCCTTAGCCCGTTGTGAACGGTTGTTTTGTTCATTTGTTTCTCGAACGTTTGTCTGTTTGCATGTTCCTCATTTGTTCGATTCTCCGTATCCTGCCTGTCCACATGGGCAAAGCTGGCAGCCTGATGCAAAGCAGAGAAAGCAAAGTCGAACCATGGCATGGAACGCCTCTGTGCTGCGACGCCCCAGGTGCAGCAGCGCGGCCGGGAACCGGCCCACCACACCAACAACCTGCATGAGGAGTTTGCGGCGATGCAGCGCAACGGCCTGATGAACCTGCGCCTTGGGGGGGCCATGCGGCGGCTGGTTGGTCCCCTGCTGCTGCGCTTGCTGGCCGCCCTCGGAGGCCCATGGGTCTTCACGCGGGTGCTGCTGCCCCTGCTGGGCGCCCCTGAGAAGGTGGTGGCCGTGGCTGAGCTGCATGCCCACCTGGCCCTCCTCCTTCTGGTGCTGGTGGCGCGGGGCGTGGAGCTGATCAAGAGCACGTTCCGGCAGCTGCACGACGTCATACGGGATGACCAGTACCTAGTGCGGCAACAGCGGTGATGCACAATAGCGAGGATCTGGAGTGTAGAGTAAAGGGGAGGCACAGTGGACAGTTGGTGGGAGCCGAGGGGACAGGTGAGACCTGTAAAACAGGCTATGTGAGGGGTCCGTGCGGAGGGGCGTGACAGGATGTAAGCAACGATTCAAGCTGCCGGGGCGTCCCTGCGGCCGATCGAGCCCACCGTGGGCTGCCCTTGGGTGGGCCTCTTGCATAGGAGACGATCGGATTGGATGGCTGCAATGTGTGCCTTCAGGCGTTGTGCATACCGCCAGGCCCGAGTCAGCGGTGCCGAACGCGGTACAGATTCGAGAGGTAGAGTGATATTGCCAATACTGCCCGTGTGCCATGAATGCAGTTGATGCAGTTGATTGATGCATTGAAATGCGGCGTTGTCGATGTGTTGCTTGGCTGTTATTGATAAAACGCTAGCACCAATTGATTTCGTAGCTGTGCCAGAGAAGCCACCAGACCCAGGGTGCGCATTGCATCAGCGGTGTAGTTACTCCAGACGCGTTTGAGTCATGGCCAAGTGATTGGAGGTTGCCAAACGCAGAAGGAAAACCTGCTGTGTTCACAGCATCTGACAAGCGGACAATGGACGTTAGCACTGGCATAGAAGTCCCCATCTCAGACAAGTACGATTCGTCCTGAAAGACGCATAATTGCAGTATATGTAATCTGCTATGATATACGTTGTATGATAGTGTACTGCCCACATGGCAAGATGACAACACTCTAATTTGATTATATGGTACGATGCACCGCTTAAAACTCGAAGTGGAGCCCGCTATGGGAACGTCGAAAGTTCTGAAGAACACGCTGGTGCAAACATATTCAAGAACGAGCAGGCTGTATCGCAGTATCAGTGTTGTGGCATCCGTCAAAGGGAGTCAGATCTTGTCCTGGTTGGCGCCGTTTGGGTTCCATTCACAGAAACTGCTGGGCGGAGCTCCTCAAAGCGAAACGGCCACAATTTGGAACCCACTGGTGCAGTGCATTTTCGCGTTGATAGGCTAGGTTCGGGGTGGGACTATGTCGGAGGCAGGCATGGCCACGGGCTTGGAGACACAGCTGAGGGAACAGTGTTCCAGAGAGATCGCGGACAGGCATGCTTCCATAGTGTGGTGCAACCATCTGTCAATCATGGAGCAGTCACTGCCATATCAGCGTAAATAGTTGCAATACCCAGGAGCAAGTCCCTGCCCCTCACTCCGGACTGTATATAGAACTACCCCCCCCTCCCAGACTGCACCCTGGTCGCCCCCAGGGGCACGCGGGGCTTCTGTGGACAGACGCCCTTTGGCGGCATGGCGCTCTTCGTGGACTGTGTGCGCATCGCGGTCGCCGTCACGACCCTCAAGCTGCTGCTCATCCCCACCTACCGATCGACGGACTTTGAGGTCCACAGGAATTGGCTGGCCATCACGCACTCGCTGCCCGTCTCCCAGTGGTGCGCCGACGGCAGGATTTGGGGGCGCCGGAAGCAGACGTTTCCACAAGTTTAGGTTTGCCCACCATGGCAGCAGCGAAAGGCCGGCCTTTTCCATGTGATTGCGCTTGATCGAGTTGCGTCAGGCTCCTTGCATCCTGTCGTGGGGAGTTGGTTTTTTCCTTTTGTTGCTTGGCTTGCATGGATTGTATGTATTGAGAGCTGCTTTCGATCGTTCTCCGTCTTATGGTAGCGGATCTACAGGTAGGTGTACAAGCTAGCAATCCGTTCCCTCATTTGCGTCTGTGTTTGTCCCTCGTTGAAAGGATGGCTCATTTGCGATGAGGCCACAAAGGTATGTGCCATTTGGCCCGATGGCTGACCAACATCCCTACGATTATGCATGCACCAGATCTGCGTGCCAGCTCCGGCTGATGTGGATCACTTTTTCATTGTGTCTGCCCTCATATCCTGAGCACCCTGCCCTCCTCTTCTCCTTGTTCGCGCTTCTCAGTGCTGCGTACTCTTCATGTTCCGCTCAACGGCTCCTCCAGATTCAGACTGTACGCAACCTTTCTTTAACAAGACGATTTTCATGAACCTGTGGTCTTTGATTGGTGAAGGTACTTTGAAGAGACCTCGGAATGGACACTGGACTACCCACCTCTGTTTGCTTGGTTCGAAGCTGCCCTGGCAAAGGCTGCGCAATATGTGGACCCCGACATGCTGGTGCGACTTGGATCTCTGCTGCTGAACGAATTCTGTGCACAAACTTGGTTGACAATGTTCTTTTCTGCATGTAGACAAATGTCCTGGTGCACCGTTTTGCTCAGCGGGAGAGGATTCTTCAAACATCCACCCCTTCTGAGCAAGCGATGGTGCTAGTTGTGCTTGGGGGTATGGGGACCCGTTCTGCTTTCTTTTCTATTGCAATTAACAGTCTGCTGGTGCACCTGCTTCATTGCTGACATCCAGATGTTGTTCACCACCTTCACAAATGGGCATCTGTCGCCTGTGTTAAGCCTCAGTGAAACAGGTCTAATAGTGTGGCAAATTTTCATACCAACTGTGTGTTGATGAGAGCATTTTAAGAGCAACTGGGGGACAAATGGATTGAAAAGCAGCTTTGGGTTGAACATATCGCTTTGCACAACAAAAGTTTGACTGCTGACGTTGCATTTGGCATTGTGTGTGTTTGTTCCACAGATTGTATCCAATCTGAACTATGCATCTCCTGCAACCATCATTTTTCAGGTACTTGACCACAGTTGTGGTTGTTGCAAAGTATGATTCTCTGACTATGTCAGTTTCATTGTCATGTTTGTCCTATTGACAGTTTTGAGGTATGCAGAGGTCCGCATTTTGCAGTCAAATCTTCCAGATGGCACAACCACAGCTCGCTTGCATTGCTTTTCAGTGGCTGTCGCCACAGAGGCTTGGACATTGTTTGTAGTACACAAGCGCTTTTCTGGCAGCGATCTTGGGCAGGCCCCTTAATGAATAGATTCCTTCATGCATGTTCTGGTATGCTGTAGTATACTGTGAAAGCAAACCTGTACATGCTATGCATACTTCAAGTAGCGGTGTATACATGTGGTTGAACTTACCAAGAAGTACCAAGAAGTACTGAGTATAGACATATACTGTGCTTTATGTGCACATGATGTGTACTTTTTTTCAGAATGCTGATATATTCTGCACTCCAGTCAGGATGATTCTTGGTCCGCCCCTTCCTGCCCCCCACCCCCCACCCCCACCCTGCAGAGAAAGACAGAAAGATCTAGCACAAAGACTGCCTTACGTCTTGCTAATTCTCCTTTGCTGAGTACTGATTCATGTGATGTTTGCTTGCAGCGTCTGACCGTGATTGTGTCAGATATGGTGCTCATCACAGCAGCATATAAGGGCGCAACGTGAGCAACTCCAGTTGGCCATCAACAGGCTTGTGGCTCAAGAAAAGGGGCATATAGCAAACGTCCACTACCTTTGTTTGTGGTGTTTGCATGTGCACCTTATGCATTGACTGTGTGTCTCATGACAGTTACCACCATGATCAGATTGGCAAGCAGGATGTCAGGGCATTTTTGCTCCCAGCAGCATGCTGGGCCCGTGGAAATGCAGAGCTGAATCCATTGGGTTGTGTTCTTCATGTTTGGTCCATGCCATCGCCTGCGCACCTCACTGCATGGTGCTGAGTCTGCAGCATTGGAGCGTTTTGCTGTGTCATCCATCAGCCATCTTGTCCGTCCAATCAATACACTACAACCCACTTGTGCACTTATACACACACGGAACAATTGTGCTGCGCTGGCAATTTTGGGCCTGTATTCAAACTGTTGTGAGCATACCGACTGGGCCTGTTTCAAGTCCGGAACGTTCACTGCAACCCTCCATATGTATGCTTGTTTATTCTGTTGGGCAACATCACTGAAGCTCTTTCTTCAGTAACAAATGTGCAGCCACACTAGCTGCATACACATTTGTGGCCCACTGGTTTGGGATGGTGCCTTTTCAGATCAGCAAAGCAGTTTGAAACATGGAGCAGACTCAATTGGAATTGTAGTGACTATGAATGCTTGCTGATGCTACAATTATGGCTGCAAGATTGACAACGTACACTGTGCTTGTAGGAAGGTGAAGGACAATCAACAGGGCCTTTACCTCTTTGGCCTAGTTGTCGCCAATGCCGGGCTACTCATGGTGGACCACATTCATTTCCAGTACAACGGATTATTGATAGGTGAGCGCGATTTCGGGGACAATTCACGCAATTCAATACCAGTCAATGATGCACCTCCAGAGAAGCCTGAACATCCCACAT